GGGCTGGGGAATTCTGGGAGTTGAAGTCCGGACATCTTCAAGTTGCCAAGGTTGAGAAACACTGCTCTAAAGGGATACAGGAAGACAGTTAAACAAATAGTCAAACAAATCCCATTAAAATTGAGACCCAGTTTGATTTTAATGGTTAAGGCACCAGCCAAAAAAGCCAGAGATCATGAGTTCAGGTGACACTTTAGCTATGAAAAGCCTGCTGGGTAACTTTGGGCCAGTCACTCTATCAGCCTAAACCACCTCACTGGGTGGTTGTTGCGGGGACAATAGCAGGAGGATGGTGTGTTGTATATGTTCACCGCCTTGAGTTATTTCTAAAAATAATAGGAGATATAAATTAAAAATAAAATAAAAATCTATGGCCAAAGAGGAATGTAAGCGCGAGGGAAACTTGTAGTTTTTTTGGCAACAAATTCTTATTGACTAATTTAAGTACAGAAAATGTTCTTTAACAATTTCTGGAATACTATGAATGTGCCTTTTTCATTGTATAAGCCTACGACTAGGGAGGAAAGAAAAGCCAAACAATTTTGCCAAAATGTAAATATAAAAAAAATAAGCAACCACCAGAGGGCCTTAGTTCATATGGTCAGTTACTGATGTTGAAATGAATTTCAGTTACTATAGTGGAACACTTTTGCATTCTTTTCAGTCAAAGAGAAATTTGGGAAGCCTGTAGAATAGAGATTTTGATATTAAACTGAAAAGCAAATCCAGCAGTGGTAACAGGGATTATTTCAGTTTATATATATGTAAACTTATTCAATATATGTTTACTTGCCTCTACAATTAATTTTCCAGTCCTTCCCTTCCATTTGCATTGAAGGGATTCTGCTCCAAATTGTATCTATGGGGAAAAATGAATAGTTAAAAGCTTCTGTTTCTGCTGATTTTCTGCCTTCACTTTAATCAGTTAAGGCAAATGATATATTTCATGATTCCCTGGGGGAAAAGATGATAGTCTACAATTTGTTTATAAATTTTTTATTTTTTCATTTTCATAACAAATAACCACATCTATACTATTATATAACTAACATTATATTATATTGTTAAATGTTTATATCAATTCGTCTTACCATCAACTCCCAAAAACAATTATTGACTCTTCTGCTCTCCATACACCGTATTTGTACCCTATCCATCACTTTCTTCTCCGTCTCTCCTCCTCTTCCCTACCTCCTTTCTTCCCTCTGATGTCATCCTCTTCTCTACTTCCCCCTCCTCTCACTTCTCTCTCCTTTCCACTCCTTCTTTCTCTCCTCCTCTTCCCTCCCTCTGCCCTCCTATCCCTCTCTTCTTCCCTTATCTCTCTCCTCTACTTTGCACTCTTCATCTCATTTACTTGGTGTATTTCAGCCTCTGAGCGAGCTCCATTTTTTGTTGATGGTATTTATAATTCCATTTCAATATGCATATTTAATTTTAACATATATCTTCCTTCTCCTTTTTTTAAAAAGGAAAGAAAAGTATACGTATATAGTAATTATATTTATATATATATTAAAAACCCAGCCTATTTTTGGCTGAGATGTAGACCTGGTTATGATTCCCAGCTTTCTCATCATTATATTTAGATAGTTATGCATCCTTACACACCACAAATTTGTAGTTCTGTCTTTATAATCTCAATTATTTTCCATTATAAGTATATTTCATGTTCCCCCTCCATTTTTCCATATCTTGACTTAGCTTACCGTTAATTGTCTTTAAATAACAATCCTTACTGTTCAGTGTTCATTACAATTCCATTAATCTACTATGTAGAATAACAAGTGGTACACACCTCACTTTGCTCATTATCTTAAGAGTTCTATAGGTGTCCATATTTCATATATTTTAATCTATATTTAATTATTCTTCCATTGTCATATTCAATCAATTTGCAACTCAATTTAATTATCATGTATAAAAGTGAATCACATACCTCTACTTTCCATTATCCACATAATACTTTCATATTTGTCCATTTACCATATATTTAACCTTTATTTAATTATCTTTCCATTATCATATTCAATCAGTTAGCAACTCAGTTTAATTATCATATATAGGAGTAAACCACATATCTCAACTTTATATTTCCCATATAACCATTTCTAATTGTCTGATTTTTTTCCTAGTAAATCTTTTGTCCTACTTCTCTGTTCTTGTCTTCTCCCTTTTCTTTATTTTGACATGTCCACCCTCTTCAATTTTCCCCAAGCCACTGTCAAACCCAGTGAAATATTTTGTATTTCCCTTTGTTGGGGCATAACCCCCCTCTTCAGTTTTCCTTATGCCACTGTCAAACTCAGTGAGATCTTTTGTCTGCTTTTTATTTCCTTTTGTTGGGACACATCCCTCCCCCTTTTCAATTTTCCCTATACCACTGTCAGACCCAATGAAGTTTTTTCTCTGTTTTTTATTTTCCACTGTTTCTACCCCTTCATGGTACAAATTTAAATAGATCTTTTTGCAAATTTGAATATACCTACTATTTATGTGCAGTTGCTTACCAATTCAAAATAAGAAAATAATTTATAGGACAGATGCAAAATCTTGGAAACTCAATACTTCTTTTTTAAACTTCCTCTAGCTGAAATAAGAGTTTTTACACATTTCTTAAAGAGTCTTAAAAGTATTTATGTTTGCCTCTGCCTTCTTTGCAGACCTCAAAAATATTATTTGGTCTTTTTGCTTATACTGTACAGTAGCCCTCAGCTTCCAAAGTTCATTTAGTAACTGTTCAAAGTTACAATGGCACTGAAAAAAGTGACATATGACCATTTTTCACATGACAATTGCAGCATCCCCATGGTCACATGATTTACATTTAGATGTTTGACAACTGGTTCATGTTTATGACGGTCACAGTGTCCTGGGCTCAGCAAAGTCAGCGGGGAAGCCAGATTCACAGCAACTGTGTGACTAATTCATCAACATCAAATGTGGCAAGCAAGGTCACAAAATAGGGCAAAACTCAAATTTCTCACTTAGCAACATAAATTCTGGACTCAATTGTGGTTGTAAGTTGAGGACTACCTGTATATATATAAGTTCTCCATAGATTTTCAACAATATTCAAATCTGGTTACTGTGAAGACCAAACCTTGATCTTTCTTTCTTGTATACTTCATAGTTAATGTGAAAGTGTGTTTTAGAACTGTTGTATTTAAATTTGTACCATTTAGAGGCTGTGTCAGCTTCTGTTCATTTAGAGATTCAGTAGTACATACCAACTGACTTAACGTTTTTCATATTCTGTACAAGATCAGTGTTTTTGGTTAAATTGTTCTCAGTAACAGTGTTACGTTTACTTTAAGATACGCACATATACTTAAAAACTTGAAATGTTTATGTTCAAGACATTGCTAGACATTTAAACATTTTTCTTAAGGTTACTTCAGTATAGTCATAGGTATATCAACTTGGAAGACCTACTCTGATTAATATAAGTTACTCTGTAGCTGATTGGTTTATATTTTCAGTTTTAATCTCACATCTGTCATAAAGGAGTTTTGAAAAGTTATTTTTTTCTTGTGTTCCCCCTGTTTTGTGCAAAGAAGGAAAGGGTGGAGAATGGGGAGTGTACCATGTAAATACCAACACATAGGTTTCTGGATTGTACAAATGATTCACACTAAGTGTGTAATTGTAAGATTTGTATTATGGCATAATCACAATTTGTTATAAATGCTGATGAATGTAAGGAATTTTTCACTAATTGGGACCAATTTGTCTGAAATCATTTCTCTTTAAAGCTTCTACTATAAAATATATTCCGAGGCACCTTGAGTTAGGTAATGGGATCAGAGAACAGTGCTTTAAAGCGTGATGCAGTGGATGAACCTTCATTTACACTACCTTCTGGAGTTAATATTTATTCAGCAATATTGCAGCATGACAAACTTGCTTCAGTGTTTGTTTACAACAGAGAGAATGAAGACAATGTTAACAGAGCTGCCAAGGTATTTAAATATTTATTATATTATCACTATTTGCATAGAAATTTCTTTTTAGTAGAAATTTCAAGGGCAATTTATGGGGGGAAAGAAACATTGCCTTTGAAATGGCAGTACAAAAGGTAAAATTTAGCTTAATTCTTATTGATTACTGATATACCATGGTATGTATAGCCCCATAGACAGTATTATGACAGTAATATGGTTGACTTCATATAACTAACTTGATCATTGTTGCTCTGTTATAATTTGTTGCTCTGTTATAATTTATTGCTCTGTTATAATTTATTGAATATATTTGTTGTGTTTGTATTAACATTAAAATATAAACAATGTTTTACAAAAAACTGACTATATTTTCACAAGAAATTAGCAATTATATTATGCTTAGTATTTTACATTCTATTTGCATTCAAGCCAAGTCATGGAAGAACAAAATATTGATAATGGTTAGGCATATAAATATAAGTGCCTCAGACACTAATAAATATTTGTAGAAACTGGCCATTTTACATAATAGTTGCTGACTGACACAGATCTTGCACTGATGACTTAATTGTGTGAGGTATAATTAGAAAGTTTTATAACTGCATGAGAAATTTGTGAATACATTCAGGCTAGTTGTTTTACAAAAAAAAAGGTATTTCTAATTATTTGGCTCAGAATTGCTTTGTTGAAATCACTAATAGCTGCTTTTTTGCTACTGCCATTTTCTGTATCAGATAATTATCCATATATTTTGCACCAAGATTGATTGGTTTGTCATTTGCACAATAAAACATTGTCTGAAATGAAAGCTTACACTACAGTGAGAGGCAAGTTCATTATGTTGTGCTATTGTTATGCCATATAGGGGCAGAGCTTAATGTGCTTAAAATAGGGGCAGAGTTGGTATTTGAGGATTTGACCTTTGTTTATGTATCACTATGGCTGATAAAATATTGCTAATTCATAACTGTTCTAGATTGGTTGGCTATTATTTAGTAAATTGATAAATAAAATAAAATTATAGGCATTGCAGAATAAATTATATACTTTCTTACATGCAGGTAGTACTTGCTTAATGATTAATCACTTAGCCACTGTTCAAAGTTACAACAGACACCCCCCCACCCCCCCAATCAGTTATCCATCACTCAATGTTAAAATTTTAACACACATACCCCACTCCAGTCATGGGATTACATTTTGGGCATTTTGCTAATGGCTCACATTTATGGCTACTTGCATCATTTACAGTGATGTTACTGCAATTGTTGATATTTTTTTGCCAGTTTCTGGCATTTACTTTCATCTTCCAGCAGAAAAAATGTCCATGGGATAAAATGGATTTGAATGGGATGTTTCAGTATTTGGGCATTTCAATCTCAAAATATTTTGCATATGTGCAGTCCTTGGTGCTTTCTCAACTCTTTTATAGCCATTTGTCTGAAATATAGTATAGGGCTTCCTGCCTAGGCAGGGGGTTGGACTAGAAGACCTCCAAGATCCCTTCCAACTCTGCTATTGTATTATATTGTATTGGTTGTTTGCTTAAATATGTTTTATTAGGTAGCTTGTTACCTCATGACTAGGTGACATCAAGTTTACATAGCTATAGTAAAGAAGTATATGGAATAAGCATATGAATTTATTTTAAGAAAAGTGAGCTAAAATTATTATACATATCAAATAGAGGCTATGACAAATTGCAAAAAGTAAATGTCAAAACTGTTCTTTGGGGAATCCTAAAGGTTTTGATTTTGTGTCTGCATATATATTATTTGGACCATAGCAGACATTTTCCATATTGTATAGAGCAGTGTTTCTCAACCTTGGCAACTTGAAGATGTCCGGACTTCAACTCCCAGAATTCCCCAGCCAGCATTTGCTGGCTGGGGAATTCTGGGAGTTGAAGTCCGGACATCTTCAAGTTGCCAAGGTTGAGAAACACTGGTATAGAGTATTTGCCACTAGACACTGAAATGTCCATAGAATTGTTTGTGAGTTGGCCTTCAAAAACATTACAGACTTATTGAAAAATGTAGATAGCCTGCATGTACATCACCTATTTGATGTTATTTAAAATTAGGCTTTTGGAGTGCCGGGATTTTCTGTCTCATTTTATGTATGGGGCTAGACTTTGAAACAAATATATAGCTGGAAATTCTGACTACTAGAGAGCAAACTAGAATCAATTTTGTCCAAATAGTCTAATGAAATACTCAATTTGCTTAATAACAATATGGAAATCATGCTATAGACAAGGAAGTGTATATACTATTTGTCGTCTTTCCCTTTTCACTATTGGATATGAAGTGTGTGCATATATGTATGTCATACTGAGTTGATTGTTTTGTTTGCATTTTGAAAGCACCTGAAAACTTTACGCCACCCATGCCTTCTGCGCTTCCTTTCATGTACTGTGGAATTAGATGGAATTCACCTGGTTACAGAGCATGTGCAACCACTGGAAAAGGTCGTGGAGGCTCTCTCTACTTCAGAGATATGTGCTGGAATCTATGATGTTTTACAGGCTCTTGTATTTCTTCATGATAGGGTAAGTGTGGCAGTTAAGCACTTTCCAATCAAAATAAAGAGAGAGACATATGGAGATAGGCTTTATTAGTTTTTTTACTTTAATTACACTGTATTTACTGTAGCAAATGTCACATGTTTCTTTTTACTGCTTTAGTTTTCTTGTTTTTTAACGTAATTTTGTGTCACCTAATGAAAAATAAATCACATTGTGCCATCTTTTTATATATGTGCATTTTTCATAGACCTGATTTAGGGCATGTGCCCGAAGCACAGTTATCATTTTGTTTCCAGTCTGTGTTCTGGATCCATCCTTTGATCATCATTTTTGTTAGCCTCGGAATGCTGAGAAAACTCATGAGCCAATCATTTATCTCCCAAGCTAACCAATAGGAGAGTTCAAAAATGATATTCAAAATACCATTCTATTCCCTAAGCTGTCATAATTTCCAGAATAAGATTTTTTTTTCAATCTTATCTAAATAATAGAATTTAATTGCCACTGTCATATTTTCATTATATTTGATCTTTGAAAGAATAAGCAGTTATAGTATTGCAGGAGAGGGAGCCATCTTATTGTCAAGTATTCTATTTCAATTAAAAACCCATTTTTAATTGGGTTGCTGGAAGTCAGCTTTATTACAATCAAACATTTTCTCTATTGCTTTGACAATTGTTACAGGTTTTAGGGCAGGGCAGGATAATGTTCACCTAAGCTAGAGGTTGGGAGACAAGTGAACAAGAATTTAGGGTACCAGTATTTTAAATAGGGATGATGAAATTAACCTAAAGGCTTCCTGATGGAGGTGGTTGCATTCTTTTTCTAGCCCTTTGTTTTTTATTTGTTCAGATGTCTGTCAGTAATAAACTGATTAATATAAACTTGGCCTGACATAACACACCTTTATAGTTCTCCTGTGGGATATAAAGTTCCTCTGTGGTTTGTTGTCTCAGGATATCTAATTAGTACTAACAAGAGTTTTATATTTAACTATTCCCAGTCTTACTATGTATTTTTTATCTTTTTAAAAACACCTATTAGGGAAACCTAACCCACAACAATATCTGCTTATCATCTGTATTTGTGAGTGAGGATGGACACTGGAAATTAGGAGGCATGGAAACTGTCTGCAAGCAGAATGAAGCAACAGCAGAGGTAGAATCAAGCACCCTCTTCTGTTGTCACACATAAGGGGACTACTTCCTGTTCCTTGAATGGTCTTCACCATTGCATTCCACTCTTGAATAATTTGGATAGTTTTAGATTCCAGCATGTGTGAAATTATAAATCAGTCATATTACCTTATTTCTTTTATCAAAGCTGTAGGCAGAGTCTCCAAACTTAAAGCGCTGAACAAGGAGACACAGAGCTAATTGATAAGGTTCAGTGAACAATTACTTAGGGATATTGTTACAATCTTGCAATGACATACGTATATTTAGACTTTGCTAAAGATGAAAGAATATGATCTCCTGTGAGCCCTTGATATAAAATAATTGTAAATTAGGATTCATTGCTGTGTTCTAATTGCTGTGGCATGTGAGGATTTGGTTTCCCAGCTTTGACCATAGGAGAAAAGTGAAATTATTACTAAGGTTGTAAGAATGATAATCCGACTTTTGTATTTGCAAAGTGTACGGTCAACCAAGATGGGACTGAAGCTACTATTAACTTTCAGGAGTTATCAATATTTCATATTGTCCAGTATACATCAATTGCACTTCCTGTTCCTTTCAAATTACACATCGTCTTTTAGAGACAGTGATTTTGCTTTGTAATAAAGCCATTAAAAAAAATATTTCACAATTTTATTACAGAAGTTTTGGTCTATATGCAACATAGCTTGAAATGATTCATTGGGATTTTGGAATGTCAGATAACGCATCAAGAGTAGAGGGGTAGAGAAATGCTATTGATATTTGAATAAATATATACAGATGTGTGGTAAAGAAAGGACAAAGATAACAAATATAGGTTTCTGTAGCTTCTTGTTCCTCTGCATTAATATAGCTTTCCATTGTTTCATCCATTATAGTTTCTGAATAGTATCCAGTCAATACGAGAGAAGACAGGGATTCCACCTGAAGAACAGGTAGGTGTTTTCATTGTTAACACCTCGGTTGAGACCAGTCTAAAAGATAACTTCAGAAAATAGTTTCTGTTAATGTGCGTTTAACTGTACATGTGTAGTAACCAAAAGGTAACTCTACAGCATCTACTGCATGCATATTATAAAAGACATTTTATATCTTTTAAAGATATTAAGATGGGATGGTATCATTCAGTGTTGGACCCATCTGTAAGGAAAATTGATAAAACTTACATAAGAGTTACATTCTTAAAATTTGTGTGAATCAGAATAATTTTTTATTCAAAATCGATGCCTTTCTGAATTATGCAGGTACACTGAAACTTTGATTTAACGGTGAGTTCAGGAGAAGATGACTTTGTCATTTCCTTCCTGTTACCTATTAAATCGTAAAATACATCATCATAGGAATGTTATTATACAAATTATATAATGTATTTATAAAATGTTACATCATTTAAGCATGATACAAAATATATAATTTGTGTCATTTTACATCAGTTATAACCATTATATAAATGATATTAAATTTTTGTTGTATTGTTGAAATCTGTTACATTGATGTCTGCCAAATTGAGTAAAAACAACACGTAAATATTAGGTGAAAATTTCCCCAAACCTCATTATTTACTATGATTTCTAGATCATCAATTGTTTGGAAGTTTTTTCTGATATTTATTTGCATATCTATAGCAAAGGGTCTACTGTTAGTCTTTGAAAAAAATCAATTCCACCCTGAGTTTTAGTTATATCATATTTGTTCTTACCCCTTTTAAGTTTTCTTCTCCATGATAAATATATCCAGCTCTTTCTGTAGAACCTCATAGTACTTAATTTCCAATCCCCTCAAGTTCCCTGGCTTCTGTTCTTTGAATGCAGTCACTTTACCAACATCTTTCATAAAATGTGCCCAGAACTGGCAATCTTGCAAGTGACATTATGGTTCTGCAATGTACCCTAAGATTTAATTACTTTTTAAGATACCTTGCTAACTCTGAATGTTGACTTAATTTATTATGACATTTAGACATTTTTCATGCGCACTGCTCCAAGCAGCATTCATGTGCTTTTGATTTGTTGTACTTAAATGCAATTCTGGTTTGGGAAAGCAAGGAAGAATATAAACACCCCGTGTATCTATATAAAAAAGTTGTTGAAGATTCAAAAGAAAAAAAATGGGTGAATGGAACGACAGGAGTATCATATTTTTCGGAGTATAAGACGCACCGGAGTATAAGACGCACCCAGGTTTTGAAGAGACAGATTTTTTTAAAAAGTAGGTAGGTAGATAGAGGGATAGAGAGGGGGAGAAAGAGAGAGAAATAGAGTAGTTAGGTAGGGAGAGAGAGTAGTTAGATAGATAGATAAAGGGACAGAGAGAAAGAGAGAGAGAAATATAGTAGGTAGATAGGGAGAGAGAGAGTATAGATAGGTAGGTAGAGGGATAGAGAGAGAGAAATAGAGAGAGGGAAATACAGTAGATAGGTGTGGGGGGGGAGAGAGAATAGGTAGGTGGGTATATAAGTAGATGGAGGGAGAGAGAGAGAAATACAGTAGGGAGGGAGGGAGAGTAGTTGTTAGGTAGGTAGATAGGTAGATAAAGGGATATATATATAGTGAGAGAAAGAAATAGAGAGAGATAAATACAGTAGGTAGGTAGGGAGAGAGAGAGAGTAGGTAGGTAGGTAGATGTTTCCAGCGTATTTATCCATGTGCTGGAGAAGGAAATCGCTAATAACCTGTAGCACCAAAAACTCATCAACCATTCTAACTAAACAGCTTTTCGAAAGGGGAAAAAAAGGTTTTGCACTCTGCAAACCTCCCCAAAACGGCCCGTTTTTTTGTGAAAAAGGGCCCTTTTTTTCAAATAAAAGGCATGAATAACCTTGGGGGGACTTGCAGAGTGCTCCTGGGGGGTGGGGCAAATAGAGCAAAAAATGATCTGTTTTTCGTGAAAACGTGCCTTTTTTGTCAAAGAAATTGCAT